ATCAAATATACTTAAATCTGTGAGTTCATAATGATATTAAAAAAATAAACAATGAACTGTTTTTAGTGGAGTAACTTAGTAGAGTTAATTTAAAAAATATAATTCATGGGTGCCTGGCTGGCTCACTCAGTAGAATGTGCAACTCTTGATCTTGGGGTTATGAGTTCAAGCCCCGTGTTGGACATGGAGCCTACTTAAAAAATAAAATTTAAAAACATATATATGTATAATTCATTGGTCATCTTTGGAGTATCCTAAAAAGTCAACTCATTTTGAAAACTAGTAAATAAAGAAAAAGGATCGGGCATTTAGCTGCCTTTCATATAGGAACCTGAACCTCAACCTCAGAGTAACCAAATAATCCTTGAGCGCAAGTTTCTTTCTATAGAAGTCTTCAAGTTAATAAATAGAGAAAATCTGGACGTTATTTTGCAGCCCCTAATGAAAGATGGGATCTAGAATCTGATTATATATGACAAGAATACAATCAACAAAATCCATGCTATGCATTGTTCTATGTATTCAACCAGCCTGGTTCCTTCAAAATTAAATAGCTAGGAAAAAAGATGGAGGGGATTGGGCAGGAGAGCTAACATAGTGTGCTGTTATCCCTAGAAAGGGCTATTTGTGAGGTTGGCCCTGAGCTGGCATCTGGGACCTTGGCTCTTAGAATGCTCCCAGTCAACAATTAACTGAAAATTAATTAGTGGTTCATTGTGCCTAGACTGTGCCTGAATAATATGTTTTCTCTTGAACACCTGCTTTCCTTCTAGGAATCTGGAATCTCTCTTTAAAAAAAAAAGAACCTGCCACAGCCGCCTGGTCCTTCAGCACCCACCGCCCCGATCAGCCAGCAGCCAGCAGCACGGAGGCAAGACCCTCCACCAGCGAAAAGATGATGATCGCTAAAGCTCAGATGATGGCGAGCATTTTTTAGCAATAAAGTATTTCTAAAGTAAGGTATGTACGTTGTTTTTTTATACAAAAGGCTATTGCACACTTAACAGACTACAGTCTAGTGTAACTATGAGTTTTGTATGCACTGGGGAACCAAAAAGACTCATTTGCCTCGTTTCGTTGCGGCAATTCTAGAACTGAACTCACAACATGTCCTAGGCCCACCAGTGCGCATGGACCCATCTATTCCTAGTAACCCGTGGGTACTCCTTGGGTTTCACAGGAGAAGATGAAAGCTTGGGTTGTTGAGGTCTGAGTCCTGGCTGCGCCACTCTTAGCTGTTTCACCCTGAGCAAGTTACTTTACTTCCCGTACCTCTGCTTTCTCATCTGTAAAACAGGGATGATAACAGCATCTATTGCACCGGGTTGTGAAGATTAAGCAGAAGGGGACACCCGAGGCACTCGAAAATAAGCCTCGGCCTGAGTAAGTGCTCAGCTATTAGTGATGGTGTCACCACCCGGAAGGGGGGCTCGCGTGTCACCCAGACCTTCCAGCGGGGAGGATCTGGAAGGGAAGGAAAAGTGGGGGCAGGGGTGCTCACTTGCGCAAGATGATCTCGGAGGCGCCCTTGCTGTACATGCGGAAACCCCCGCTGGGCTTCTCGATGACCGTGCTCATGGACTTGCGTACGGAGTTGAAGGTGTACACCTTGTAGAGCTTCTCCTCGGGCACCTCGCTGCGCACGGCGTGGTAATCCTGCTTCAGGTCAGTGACAAAGCCCAGAAGGGCACACTCGGTCTTGTTGCCCACCTGCCGCGGGAGGCCTCCCTCCTTCTCCGGAGGCTGAGGGAAAAATTGGATGTGCTGTTGAGTAACATGCCCTGACTAGGGAGAGAACTTAGGAAGGAAAGAACTCCCCGATGAAACGTTCCTGTACGTGCCCGGAGCCCATGCGGCGAGACCGCATTTGTCTTTTTTCCAAGGGCAAGCAGACAGCGGTCAGTGGTAACTGTGGTCCCCGAGCCATCCTGGGCTTCGCGATGTTCTAGTCTGCCCTAGGGGTGGTGCTGGTCTCTCACTCTGGGTGGGTCTCATTTGAACACCCTCTCTTAGTTTCCAGAAAGTATGTAATTTACCCCTGACAAACCCATCTCTCCTAGAGATACTGCCATGATACGGTGATTGGTGGGCATTTCAGACACCTGGATTTCTACCTGCCTCCCACCCCCAACTCTACTCCCACGAATCAATCCCTCGTCACTGCAAACATGTTCATTGAGGAGTAGGGAGCGGGAATGTGGGGTGGCAACTCAGGCAAAGAAACAAGAGAAAATTCCTCTGTCCAAAGAAAATTAATGGTCCCCTCCAACCACCCACTCTAAGTGTCCAGGCAAAGAAAGAGCTTACCAGAATCTTGGAGGTATAGGCACTGTTGATAGAAATGCCATTGACAATAATGTCCAGGACCTTGGGCACGAGGGCGTCGGGGCTTGGGATCTGATGGTAATGAGTGTCTCCGATGTAAGCCTGTACGACAGTCATGCGGTTCATGGTCAACGTGCCGGTCTTATCAGAGCAGATGGCCGTGGCATTGCCCATGGTCTCACAAGCATCCAGGTGACGCACCAAGTTATTGTCTTTCATCATTTTCTACAAAGGAGATGAGGACAGACTTGAGGGGAGACCGACGGAGCTCTGCCAAATACAGGTCAAAGGCCATTTTTTAGCCAACGTGTCTCCACGTCTCATACACTTGTCTGCACAACAATGCAGGAGACAATTTTTATGAATCTTCTTCAGATGCTCCTGGGTTACCTCAACCTGGATGCAGCCGATCAAGATGGTCCCTTCGTCTCCGAGCGGTGCCAGAGGCTTCTGCTCTCCGAGGCGCCCCCCGGAGTTTGCGGAGATAGGACGGCCCATCCCTTCAGCGGAGGCTCCGGCACCCTCCCCTCCCACCTCTGCCCCCAAAGAAGAGGCGGCCCTGTTGCAGTCTTACCTTCACAGAGTAGGCCAGCGAGATGGTGACGGCCAGTGGCAGCCCCTCTGGCACGGCCACCACCAGTACGGTGATGCCGATGATGAAGAATTTGACGAAGTACTGGATGTAGATGGGAGTGCACTCCGATAGCCATGGTTTGCGTTGTATCACGAAGTTGTCGATCACAAAGTACAGGATCAGGATGAGAACCGTGATAGCAGACATGATGAGGCCTGTCCCGGAAACAAGGCACCAGAGCCCAGGCTCGAGGGTGTCCCCGGGGGCCCTAGCCAGAAGGGGGCTGGCATGAGGTGGAGCCTTTGCTACCGAGGTTTAAATCCACTGTCTCTGGGGAGTCACACCCAAATCCCCTATCCGTTCTCGGCTGCGTGTACATTGTCGGGTAGGGGAAAAGACGCTGGTTTTGTCATCCACAGACACAGTTCTAGTCTCAGCACGGCACTGACTCGACTCGTGGCTTTGGACTAGTTGTTGTCTCTCTCCGGGCCCGTTTCCTCATTCATAAATAAGGAATTGGTTTAGTTTTCTAAAACAGCATTTTATGAATCTAACTCAGACCTACCCTCTTTCCACAATTCATAATGTAGTGACTGTATTTGCCTATTTCCTAGGAATTTATCAATTTGGGCTTCTCCCCTAGCAGCTGAGGAACGTCGGGTAATTCACCCGACTTGTTTACAGCGATGCCCCTATGGTGTTAGCCCGTCACCCACATGGCTAACCTTTAGAACGGTGCTTCTTGACCTTTCTCTTGACATGGCATAGACGGAATATGACAATAATTTATATGTTTATAATAAGCAAATATTTCTATAGTGCTTACTATATAGGCTGGGCAAGCATTTCACAAACACTAACTCATTTAATCCTCACAAAACCCCTGTGACATAGTGAGTATTATCATCCCCTTTCATGAGGAAATTGAGGCACAAAGAGTTTTTTTTAAAGAAGATCAAGAAACAATTATGATTTAAAAAAGTTTTAATCTTATTTATTTATTTTCATCATGGTAAGTGTCATCTTTAATCCCCATCACCTATTTCACCCACCCCTACACCCACCTCCCCACAGAGGGTTTTTTGTAAATGGCACACAGGTTGGGGGACCAACTATTCTGGCTTGCCTGAGACTGAGCAGATTCCTGGGATGTGAGACTCTCAGTGGTAAAATCAAGAGAGTCCCAAGCAAGCTGGGACAGGTTGGTCGTCTGACACACTGATGTGAATGGAAGAATTTTTTTTGAGGTCAGAAAGCAACTGGCTTAGAGGTTCCAACCACCCTGGGGACTGCCTGGCCACCCTGCAGGCGGAGGGGATCAGTATCTGGGCACACTGTACCGATCTGTGGCTCAATATCTGGCAAGAGCTTTGCTTCCAACCATAGTAAGTGTGGGTCTTTGCTTTTCCTGAGGTCCTAATGATGCAAGAGGATCAGGGCAAGGCTAGAGGTGATTATATCAATAAAAGCATATTCTTCTGAATTTTGCTTCAGCAGGGTCAGGGCTAAGGTGAGGCAAACAAGGTGCCTAGGGTCCAAAGTTCAAGGAAGCACTCCCTCCCAGGGTGGTACAAAGCACCAGACTTGCCTCACCACCTACTCGCCCAGCTTGAAACATAAACTGAAACAAGAGAGGAGACTAGTGGCCAGCCATCAGGTAAGCCTGTACTCCCTAAAGAACAAGGCAGGGGTTCAGAGGACCATAGGAGGGGTTGGGTGGGGTCTGTTTAATGTTTCACACCTGTGTGCCAGGCTCAGTCACTTGATTCCACACCTGTAATTCATGTCCTCCATGTACATTTGATATGCAAGAGATTTCACGGTGGTCACCATCAGTTGGGGACCAGAACTGAATGAACATGCTGGACGAATGCTGTCCAACTGAACTCTCCGTGATGTTTCAAACATCCCCCGTTTGCACTATCCAATAAGGTAGCCGCTAGCTACGTGTGGTTATTGACCAACCGAAACAAGGCTGATGTGATGGAGGAACTGAATGTTTACCCATACTTAATTGTAATTCATTTAAGGGGAAACAGCGTGGTTAGTGGCCATGGTTAGTGCCCTGCATAGATTCCTGCCACTCAACGTGTGGTTAGCGGATCAGCGGCATTGGCACCCCCTGGGGGCTTGTTAGAAACGCAGAATCTCAGGCCCCGCCCCCGGACCTCCTGAATCAGAATCTGCGCTTTAATAAGATCTCAGGTGAACTGTCCCCGCAGAATGTACTGGACTAGACGGATTGTGGTCCACAGAAGGGCAGGGTCAGGAGCAAATGAAACAGTGGTACAAGGTGGTCCCTTGAGAGGTGTGTCCACCGAAGGGGCAATCTTCCTTTAGTTTCTTCCTCCAAACCCCCTGCCTCGCCCCGCCCCGCCCCGCCAGAAGGTGGAGAGAGAATGTAGAGGCAGGGGCTGGAGAAGCCACTTCCTCTCAAGATACACAAGAGTGACCCCTCCTCTGGAAAGAGCCCCTCTAAATCACGGTCTTCCCGTGTCTTCTAGTCCTTATTTTGCATTTATCGCGCTCTGCCAGGCCAGCTGCTAGTCCTGTGCTAGGGGCTCTCTTCCTGAAGGAATTTACTAGCCAACACATGAAACAGGTGAGTGGTTGTCCACGTCCTCCTTGCTAACGTAGATCTTCCCCCTGTGACAGAAGTCCTTTATTTCCCTTCTGTTGGGAGGGAAGAGACCAAGTGTGGGGTCTTTAACCCTCGCACACAGGGGCACACTTCTCTCCGAAAAGGCCCAGGGAGTGGCCAGAGCGGGGCAGAGAGAGGGGCGCAGCCACCTCGGCTGCATGAGCCCCTGGGAAGGTTCGGCTTCTTTCTGCCGGCCCGGCTGGGACAGAAGGAAGACAGCCAAAGTGGCGAGGATCCAGAGTAGCCCTGATACCAAGGAGGCGCTCCCCTACTCACCGGCTTTCCCAATCTGAACAGCCAAGCGCGTCAGCTTGCCCTGCAGCACCGACTTCTCCTTTTTGGGCAGCTTGGCTGCCTTTTTCTCCTTTTCCTCATTGTCGATCCCCTCCTGGCTGTTGAGTGGCTGGATTTCCAGGGCCACTCCGTCCTGAGTCTTTGCTAGGGTGTGCACACAAATAGGACAGGTGAGTGCGAGAGGTGGTAGCCCCGAGGAGCAAGCACGTGGGAACCAAAACTCCTCTGTCTCCTTCCTGGAATCCACCTTGGACCCCCAGCGTCAGCTCTGGCCACTCTCACCCCATGCCAGGCAAGGAACATGCCTTCCACCCTCTGCTAGGGCCTTTAGAATGATATTCTGACAACGGGAGATGAAACGGGGAGTGCTTTTAGGGTATGGATTTCCTCTTCAGTGGCAGCTTCCTGGCACCACCTCAGAGCCCCAAGCCAGGTTTATTCCAGCAAGAGGATTAGTCATGCCACTAAGTGCTATTACCAACAACCATCCTTCCTGGAATTCAGTGCTTAAAATAGTGAATCTTTAGTGCAGAAAGGGGCTGACTGATGGGGAAGGCTGGTAGATGTTTCCAGAGCATGAGGGTCCTAGTCTGCTCTATTAAAAGGTTCATCTCTTTCTCCCTATAGACTGTCAGGGAAGAAACACAGACCCCCAAACAGGGTATTTTCCAGCTCCTTCTTATATCAGTTGAATAACTGGGGAAGGAAATGCCCTTTCTCCCCTGACAAAGGTGGGGAGGTACAGAGTGGGGAGAGTTAAGTCTTTTGGGGGAGAGGGAAGAAACTGGTAGGAGGGACCCTCTGGAATAAGAGGGATAAAGACAGACATATAAATCCATTTTGCTTTCCAAGGAAGAGTTAAAGAGACCTAAAATTAAAGAATTATTTCTGTGGAGCCCTGCTTCTCCGATGTGATGACTTTATTCCTAAAGACTACTATGACTTGGGTACAAAGGAAAAAAAATCTCCAGTAGCTGTCTCAAGAGAGCCATTCTCACTGGTTCCCACCCCGCACCCCCAGCTTCACCCCTGTGGACCTCGGCCTTTTTGCTTAGGATGCCCTTCCTGAGATACTGTCTCTGTTGTCAGACTCACAAAAAAGACAGAGACGGGATGTAAACACAGTCACCAAAAAAGAAACACACACCAGATCGGGAGGAAGAAGACAGACGGCGAGAACAAAGAAGGAAGTGGGGAGAGGTACAGAGAACGGGCTCTGTCCAAGCACCCCAAGAAGACTAGCAGAGAAGGAATCCAGACTAGAAGAGGACACCGATGAGGAAGCTAGCAAGAGGAGGGTGCAGGGACTGCCCACCCCGACTCCCTCCACCGTGGGGACCCTGAAGTCTTCTAGCCCAGAAACGGATGACCGTGGGCCTAGGGCGGTGAAGCAGGGAGTTCAGCGCCCCGGGGAAGAGCAGATCAATCCCACGTGCTCCCCAAGAGAAACCTTGATGGGAGGGTCCGTGAGACAACAGCAGGGGGTGCTGTTGTCCTGTCTTAGATGGGGCTCGGGACCTGGAAACCACCCCCAAATCTCTGCACCTTCCTCAGGATGAGGCATTGGGGGGCCCCAGCAGCAGATAACAGATTTATGGAGAGGAAAAGGGAGAAGGCAGATGGCCTGGAAAGGTCTGGATTGAGTGTGGGCAGGTAGAGATGGTAAATGAGTGGGTGGAGAGGTTACCTTTGTTGCGATTTTCAGGGACTCCTTGTTTTTTACCTGTTTGAACAAGAAAGAAAAAAGTGGGGTGGAGACCCAAGGTGACTATTAAGAGATCAGGTATCCAATCTGTTGGTCCTGCTCAGAGCCCAAAAGGGCCACAGCAAAAAGGGGTGGAGTGGCAGGGAAGGGGATGTAAAGGAAGTTCACGTCTCTGCTCACATCCGTGCTTACTCGGGGCCTCAGGACTCCCCGGGATGTGGACCAGACCTCTCCCGCAGGTGAGCGCACAGCCACACCTGGGCTGCTTTCTTCCAGAGCACAGAGGCTGCTGGGAGGCTGCTCTCAGCTGAGTCCCATCACTTGCAAATGTGGGGTAGGGGTTAGAAAGTGAGAGGTTGGAACCAGTTCTGCCTGAAGGCAAAGGCTCTGAAAGGTGTCTCTGTGGCCGGGTCCCTCCTTACTCATCTGCAGGTAGCTGCAAAAACCTAGTCTAGTTCCCAAGGGAATGGGTTTTGTTTCCTGATAAACTGCCGTCCACAAAACAGCCTGAGATGGTCCTCCAGCCAAGTGACAGAAATCCTTCTCTTCTCCAAGGAAAGAAGGAATGCTGAGGGTAAGGTGTCGATCTCTCTTTAGTATCTTTTTCTTGTTCACCTTCCTTCCTTGTTTGTCCTTCCTTTAGGAGCAAGTGAATGGCAAAGACGGGGCTAACTCTGGGGGTAGACATTACCTCTGTGTTCCCACTCTCCTAGCCATGTCTCTTCCACTGACAGCCCAGGCTTTCAGCAGTCTTCCCTCCGCCTGGATGGTTCACTTACTCCCTCATGTTTGAGTGGTGGGGGACTACACAGAGGGCTGCTGGGGCCACAGCACCTGGCCAGCTCATCTGGGGCAAGCTTTACATCTCACGCCTTTATAACCCACAAACAGACACAGGAGTCGAGGCTCAAAGGCGACCTGATTTGGTTTTCATCAGAGCGCCCTGGGGAGCCAGGCTCAACATCTTTATCTCCGCAAGAAGTTTGGATATCTGCATTCTTCATCCAGCAGATTCTTCCCACCGGGCATTCCATCCAGACCTGGTTGGTCCCTTGCTTCCTAGTCTGTCCATGGGGATGAGAGGGGACACAATCTCATCCCAAATGCCCTTTACCTTTTTTCTTCTTCTCCTCCTCTTCTCCCTCACTGGCTCCCAAAAGGGTAAAGATGATTCCAGTCTGGGAGTTGATACCCACGGCAGTTACTACCATCCGGCCAGAACCTTCCATGACATGGGTCCCTATATGAGAAAGGAAAAGATGGAAGGAGTGCTGTTTTTTATACCTAGCCATGCTTTGGTGTGGAACACAAACTTAGAAAAAAACAGTCCCTCTTCCTTCCTCCCCCGTGGATAATGATACACTCAGCAGATAGCAGGAAAAGGTCAAGAGCTGGGCCCATTTAAAATAGACCGACAAATTGGGGGGTAAGGAGAAAAATGTGTCTAACTGCTTTAGGGTAAAGCTCCTTCCCCCACTCCCACCGCTAACCAGCAGAGCCCTGTCAAGGCCCCTACAGCACTTGCTTCATAGAGAACCTCTTTTCGGTTGACTGATAACCTTGTACTCAACCCACTAATATGCTCCTGTCCCAAAAGAGCCCAGTGGAAGGAGATGGGGCAGGGTCAGAATAGAGGGCAAGGCCTGGAGCAGCCAGACGCCATACCTGAGAGCAGCATTGGGTCTCTTTCCAAGGACTTCTTGACATGGTCTGATTCCCCAGTCAGAGAGCTCTCGTCAATCTTGAGATCATTCCCCTGGATCAGGATCCCATCTGCAGGCAGCAGGTCACCTAGTGTGCGGAGGGGAAGGGACAACAGGGAAAGAGGGTAGGGAAGAGCTTGTCAGAGGGTGGGAACCATCCAACCCCATCTCAGGGCTGCTCCCACGGGCCCTACCTATAGGGCAATAGCCCAGGGGGTACCTGGAGAACCTCTGAAAGACGCCTTCATCTCTGACGACAAGACTCCTTATAAATTCAAACAACGATCCCAAAACGCCTTCCCATGGCCTCAACATTATGTATTTTTAACCCTGAGATACACAGGGTACAGGTGTGACATTCTTCGGGGAGACTTTCTTCTTTCTTTGAATCCTTCTCAACAACCTCTTTCAACTAACCTAGAAGCTAACGCCATTTGGGGTCTTATCTTTCTGGGTCCTCAGTGATTCCCAGCCCCCTGTGCCAAAGGACCCAGCCCTCAGATAGGGAGGACGACATAGGTACAAGAAGCATGAGCTCTCACCGTATTTGATTTGGGCGATGTCACCCACCACGATCTCAGCCACGGGCAGCTGGATGATGTGGCCATTTCGGATCACGGAGAACTTCTGTTCCTTTTCAATGCGGTTCTGCAGCCCCCGGAATTGCTTCTCCTTGCTCCAATCGTTGAAGGCAGTCACCAGCACCACGATGATCACGGAGAATAGGATGGCTGCCCCCTCAATCCAGCCGGCTTCCGCCTCTCCTTCATCTTCTGGGCTACTTACAGGTAGACCACACTCTAGCCCAGGGAAAGGACAGAAAGTAAGGGTCACCTGGGGGCATTGGTGAACACTAAAAATGGGAGGAGTGCTTCCACAGCCCCCCAGGATGGAAAGTCAGGGAAAGAGAATCACAGAAAATACAACCCTTGGGCAGGGGAGCTATCCTCTGAGGATACTGGAGGACAGCTGGGTTGGGCATCGTGTCATCACCAATATAAGTATTTATGTTAGCCCAAAAGAAGTTAATGAGTATGTAGCACAAATCATGTCAGTGCAAATTACTGGCCAGTCCCATGTATAGAACTTATGATTCCCAACAAGGCCAGGCCCCCTGCTCCGGGCTCTAGGTCATTGCTATTTCCCATAATGCCAGATAATTGATGGTGGGCACTTTGAGAAGCAGGTTTTGGTGGATGGGTGAGGGTAGGGGACTTCTGATATCTTGCATAAGGATTTGGTGGAAGAAGGGGAAGAAGACCCTGGAATCAGGATGGGCTGAAGAATGGCTGGCTAGCTACTTGTTGGTTTTCTTTAGAGAACCCACCCTGGAGAGTGGGGTAAACTTTTAAGCTACAAACCTGTCACCCACGAATACTAGTGCTTTTTGGTGGGGGTGGAAAGAACATGGATCAGAGTCACACGGGGCTGTCCTAGACACTCACGTTTATTTTCTTCCCCAGGGGGGCGATAGAAGGACAGGACGAGGGAGATGATGGCTGCGATCTCCAGGATGATGAGTGTGACATCTTGAAGGGCTTCCCACACTAGTTCTAAGAAGGTCTTGGGCTTTTTGGGGGGGATGAAGTTCTGTCCAAACACTTGCTTACGTTTCTCCAGGTCTGCAGGGTTCCCAGACAGACCTGAAAAGGCGATACGAGGGGGAGGAGCCGGTAAGAAAAACAAGGGGGAGAAATGATGATGGGAGAAGGTGGTCCAAAGACACCTTTAAATAAAGACCCCCCTGCTCCTGTTCTGCCCAAGTAGGAGATCCAGTTACGGCCAGAGGACTTCTTCACACTCGGGTCCGTGTGAGGGCTCTTCCACTGGAGGGGCCCGGGGCGTGGCGTGCGGGCACACCTCTACTCTCCATCTCCACTCAACAGGACCCGAGGGTGGTACCTTACACGGCAAAGGGAGAGATTTGGGTCAGACCTAAGGAAGACATTTGGACAGAAAAAGACTTTGAAAATGGGGAAAATGGGTCCCCACGGGGGTATTGCTTGTAGGGTCTGAGACGGCCTCCCTTTCTCCACCCAAAAAACAAAACCATCAGGGGAGGTCCTCAAGACCCTCCCCTGTCTGGGAGGGTAGATGGAGGACCCGGCGTGGAGGGAAAGTGTGGAAGGGTGAACCTGCATCCGCACTTACAGAGTCGAAGAAGGGAGACCCCTTTGGCCGGCCAGTGCTTCGAAAAGGGAGAACAGGAAGCCAGGCAGGGGAGCGGGGCTGATGTTCTTATCCAGGGCCTCCTGCCTCCTGGTGCCCAGATGCAGCACCCTGGCCTCTGGCTGAGTGGCACAGCCAAGCTCTGCGGGGGAGGGGGTTTGGCCAAAGAACTGGAAGCAAACTGGGCGGCTTCCCAGAGGCTGCCTGTCTCCAGCGCTCTGGGAAATCAGGTTCCCCGTGGGAAGGGAGAGCAAGGGCCTGGGAAAGGGCATCTTGACCCCCGGGCGGGCAGAGGCAGAGGAGCCGGGGGTTCCGGGCTGGGTCCTTCTCCCCGAGGACCTGAGAGCGCGAGGCTGTGCCAGTTTGGGGTTGCTGTCCTGGAGGCCAGGTTGGCCTGCGGGAAATAGGAGTTCTGATCATTTGTTCATCTCCCTGGGATGTTTCTCAAGGAAGCAGCAAGGAGATGCCATCCCCCCCTGCCCCCCGCAACAAGGTGGGTAGATGACTATGAGGGCAAAGCAGACAGCAGATAATAGAGATCATCTTAAGGGACATCCCACAAGCCCAACGGAGGCCAAAACAAGAGCAGCGACGACAGAGGTCTGACTAAAAGCCCCCTTCTGAGGTCATCCTGCCCTCCCTGGTCTCAGATTAATACCCCGTGACCACCCTCGCTTCCTCTCTCTCTCCTCACTCTATCCATTCAGCCAGCATATCCTGGCAGCTTTATCTTCAAAGAATACCCAAGGTCCACTCACGTCTCACTTTCCACTGCCACCGTCCTGGTCTGAGCTGGCATTCTCTCTCGCCCGGGTGATGACAACCGTCCTCTAACTGGTAACCTTGCTCCCACCCTTGCTGTCCTGTGCCCAGTCTCCTCCCAACACAGTAGCCAGAATGATCTTTTTCAAACCCCACCCCTGCCACTCACCGACTCAGAATCCTCTGCTGGCTTTTACTGGGAGTGAAACTGGGCCCCGAAGCCTTTATGATGGTCTGTAAGGCCCCCTAAGAGCCCCCCGCCCTCCCACCCCTTAACTCCTACTGTTTGCTCCTTGTTCGCTGAGCTCCAGCCCAGCGAGCCTTCCTGCCATTCCCTGAACGCGTTAGATAAGCTTCTATTTCAGGGCCCTGCACGAGCTCTTCCCTTGGCTCAGCTTGCTCCTCACTGGCTCGGGCTTATTCTCCTACGTCCTTGGGGTCTCTGCACACACATCACCTTCTCAGTGAGGCCGACCCTGACCATCCTATTTAATAAGGTGGCTTCTCTGCTCCAGGACTCTCGATCCCCTTGTCCTGTGTCATTGGTCCCCTCCACAGGCCTTCTCCCTAACACATTATATGATGTATTTACTTAAGATGTTTGTCTATCGCCCTCCACAAGGGCAGGACTTCTGTCTTTGTTCCTTAGGTCTACAGCAGGGCCTGGCACATCGTACGCATACAAATGTGCTGAATGAACTGAATGAATGAGTAATAAATCAGGTTGCTAACATTTAAGCGATTACTATGTGCCAGATGCTTCAGCAGGAACACTCGTGTCTTCTCATTCAGACACCGCCAAACCCTATGTAGCAGCTACTGTGAACCTTCATCGGGGCAGACTGAGGCCCGGAGAGGTTAGGTAACCACCCGGCTAGTCTGCGGCTGAGGCGACACCACTCCCCGGGAAGCACCAGGACACCAGGCTACGCCCAAGGGGGCCGGGGTGTGGCATTGGCCACACTCCACTGAGGCTTCACTGTAGGGTGACTAACCGGTCTCGGTGTGCCTGGGACTTCCCGGGTTTGGGCACTGAGGCTCCTCCCCTCCCCCCCCGGGTCCCAGGCCAACAGGATGGTCGGTCACCCTGCTTCCTTCAGGGCACGGCAGCCCACGTGCCGCTTCTGTCTGCGCCTCGAAGCCAATCAACCCTGTTCCCACTGTTCGCACCTGGGCTAAATTCGTCCTACCTTTTTCCTGTCCTCAGAGATGGTGACACCAGGCCCGTCAGAGTCCAGCCTATGGATCTGGTGCTCAATAAAAGGTCCAGGATGGCCTTTTCGGACCCAAGCAAGCCAAACAAGACCCATTAAGGAAAGCAAAAAAGGTCAGGCCTTGCTCCGGCCTAGATGCTCTCGGAGTCACACACTTACTTCCCTTTTGCCATTTTCTCTCATCTGTCTGCTCCACCTTAAGCGACCCTCAGCTCTTGCAGTGGCTGCCTTAAGACGGGCAAGTGGCTGTCCCAGTTCCCAGCGTGCCCTGGGGCAGGGAGGGGCCGGTGGGGGCTGTGAGCCTAGTAGCCTTGGGAATCCTCTCTGGACCTGTGGTTAGGGGGCACGGGAAAGCCATGCGGGACCGGGAGCTCAGCCAATCCCCAATTTTGGGCTTTCCATTCCATTCTTCCTGCCCCCAGAGGCTCTCAGGCCCTGCTCTCTGCAGCTGTGATATCACAGAAGTACTGGTCTGGCCAAGGAGAGGGTATTAGCCCCTGATCTCCGCAGTTGCTTCGCAAATACTCACACAGCTTCCCGGAGAGGGGAAGGAACACTTGGCAGGGAAAGAATGCTGGAAACGCAGGAAAAGGATTTCCCTTAGAAATACATTTAAAAAAAAGAGAGAGAGGAATCTTTGTCCCCAAGAACATGAGTGAGAAAGCCCCACCCACATCAGGAGTACTTTTGGCCCTAAGCACCAGACTGAACACATGAGCTGGGAGAGGCGACAAGAATGTCAGGCTGTGAAGTCATCGTTCCCACCCCATGCTGGGGAGTTACATGGCCCCTTCCCAGGCTGGCTGGAGATGGAGAGGCAGCCGTGGAAAATCTGTGTGTGCTGACGGCCTGTGCAGGGAACGAGGGCTTGGGAGGAGAGCCTGCACCCAGCCCTCAGTGGCCTGGCTCCAGCAGGGAAGGGCCACGGCCGCCCGCCTCCCTGGGACGCCAAGGACTGTCGACAGAGGCACCCCTATGAGAACCAGCTCAGCCCCAGAAAGGGTGGGGCGAGGTTAGACATCATGAGGGACTTCCTAGCTGTCTGAGTTATGATACCTTGCCAAAGAGACAGCAGAATCTTCTCCCACACAGATAATGCAAGGGAGAGGTTTCTCTGGGTTGATTCGAAGGCAGTCCACTTTGGTATATGAGAACAGACATCGGAATACCTTTCAAGTCCAAAGAAAGGAAGAATGCCTTTCAGGTCCTACCGTAAACACCCTGGATTGGGGGCGAAGGGGAGGAGGAGCTTAAAATCAGCGCAGGGACCACAGGCTTTAACCAAATTCCACTTCTTGAGGAGGCAGAGCAGTTTCCTTACATCATCATCTCCAGCTTACCACACCCACGGCTCGGAGATGTGCTCTCAGTCTGCTGGACTTCCAACCCCTAGAGGTAAAGCCATCTCCCTGGGGTCATCGCAAGAGGATGCTGGACTTCGGGAAGAATGGCCGCTACCTCATTCTCGGTTCAGGAAGGCAGCATGTCTCCCTTCGTCTGGCCCTCCGCTCTGTGCCCTTTCTGCCGCCTCTGAAGCTGGAGCGGACAAAGCAAGCTCCCTCGTCTGCCCTCCGCAGCCTTCCGCCGGCCACCTGCTCCCACACGGCCTGCGTGTGCACCTCTCCAGTGTCACGCTCTCTGGTGCTCACACCTCTGAGCTAAATAAAAAGAGCGAAAGCCCTACTTCCAAGGGTAGACGCAACATCTGCCTCAGCCAAGGAGGGAGTGCTATCCTTCTTCCCAGCCCTAGCTGATGCTCGATGCAAGGCAGTAAGAAAGTTCAAAACAACACAGAACTCGCAAGAGTTTCTGCTGAGCTCCCAAAGGATTGCAGCACAAAGGGCTCCTGGCAGGAAGACATATCCCCGATCCCCATCAAGACTTCTCTGGCCCCTGCCTGGTAGCACTATGCCAGCAACCCCAGAAGCCCCGCTCTGGGCAAGGAGGGGTGGACTGGATTTCGCAGAGCCCGGGGTTGGGCTGCGAAGAGAGGGCAGAGAAGGCCCAGAGCTGTCACACGCTGTTGGCCTCATTCAGCCCTGGGCACATAACTCATGTCAGACAGGGAACTCCCAGGATGCAACGTGGAATTCCCTGCAGGGGGAGGAGGAACAGAGGGAGGGCACTTTCACTCTCCTCTTTCTCCATCATCTACCCTCCTCCTTCCAGCTGTTGATGCTGCTTCTCGCGGGTTTGGTAGGAAGCCTTTCCCACCCCTCTATAAAGTACTAAGTATTTCTTTTATAAAGCTACCTGGACTTGCCTCAACTGCTCACATCACAGCGTAGCTGCTTTCTGGCTGTTTGAGCTGGTCTGCCCACCTCCACCCTCTCCCTTCCCGCCAAGATATTCTTCTGGCTTGAGTCTCTCTCACATCTTAAAGTAGTGCTGATAGATCCGCCCCAAGCGTGATGGGCAGAGTAGCCCAGACTGTTGGCCTCTGCAGCCAGGCCCACATACACTGTTTTTAGGATCATTTATTTGGCATCTTTAGTAGAGTTGGGGCAAGAGTTCAAGGTGATGGCCACAGGGCAGAGGGCTGGAGGAAAGAGAAGGAGCTTGGCTCTGCTTCTATTCTGAAATTGACGTACTCCTCAATGCAGCTATTTTGAAACACACTATACGCTCTAAGACAGGGAAGAAAATGTCAAAGAAGCCAGTTGCCATCTTCCTCTCCCATCCCTCCCATCCCATATTCGCTCGCTTGGTTCTTTACTCCCCTCCAACACTAGAATTCTCTAAAGCAGTGGTCTCTGAGTAGGGCGCATCCATCTGCCGGAGTGTGGGAGAAATACCAGAACTTTTTATATTACTTCATCCACTTCAATTTCTTGGCTATCTTATTATGTAAATAATACTAGCATTGGAAGTACTAATAGTAATACAGTAGTGCTGAGGGTAAGCATTTATTGTTTATCACTGGGGCTATGTGTTCAATTTTTTTCCAGATTGAAAATGCTACTGGAAATTTCAATCTACCACATGGAGGAAGAGCCCATCCCTGCATGTCCCAGCTTGTAGAAAAATGGACAGTGCTCAGGAGAACACGCCACTGACCCAAGGCTTGGGAACAGGAATGCAAGAGATCTTAGGGCGGCAGGAAATAGTACCCTAAATCCTGCAGTTAATGAACCAGAGTCGTAATTCGGGCTGGGTGGTCTTAAAACAGACTTTTTCCCTTCCTGCTTTTCCCTCCCCCAAAGAATCTCAGCTCCCCAAACCTAGCAGCTGCTCAGTAAGGTTGTGAGGCACACATACTTTGCATCTTACATCAGGAACATTCAGTGAGTGGTAGCAATTACCACAGAGCGTGGTCAGGACAGAGCCGTCCCAGACAATCAGATGTACAGGAGTCCCTATTCACCTTCTAAGCCCCTTCCCCTCCCCTGCAGTCCCTTCAGCTTAGGTCCCTGTCCTGGCTGCTTCCATCACACCCAGCTCTTCCCCATCACAGCACTGTGACAATATTTCTGAAATTGCCTCAGTTTCTGTGTATCCTCTTGTCAGCTCTAGGGAAGGAGGGACTGTGCCTGCCATATCCACCCTGGGGTCCCCAGCACCTGAATGTAGCTGAAAAGGAACAGAAAACCCTCTGTATCCCTGTCACACCCTCAGCTCTGCAGAGGAGAAGTCGCAGGGTACAGAGGGAACATGAAATAGAAATTCACACCAACATTCTGCTCGATCCAAATCCACAGCACCAGGCGGGTTTGAAAGTCATCAATAACTCCCTGACATGAAACAAAGTGAATTATCCAAAGCTTTGGTAGGTACTTCTATATACCCAATGATTTTGCACCCTATTTCTAACTGTCCACGATAGAGAAATGCCACATTGGGTAGATGGACTCATTCATTTTTTTTGGTGCCCCTTCTCCCCAGTTACACTGTAAGATCAGTGTGGAGCAGAACTGTATCTTAAATTCTTTTGTAATCAGAGACCGATCCTGAATCAGAGACTTGACTGTTTGCTGATAAAAGCATCTCTAACATAAACATTTGTAAAACAGAGGTAAACTGTCTCCTTTCTGCACATTGATAACAGAAAACGGAAGAAAGCATGATCTTCGGAGAACACCATCTCCAGGAATGAAATGGCTCTCCATGGCCTCACCCCCTTTCAGTGCTTCAGAGACCACATTTTTCTCAAAAGACACAGATATACCAGGGAGGTCTCCCACTGCGTTCTCCAGGAGCTAGGGAAGCAACAGTTTTGAACACTAGCCACCTTGCTCTGGTTCCCCGCCCCTGGTCCGGCCTTTACCTTCCACAGGGTCGGTTTTCAGTCTACTGCAGAGATTCATTACACCTCCATAGTGGACATTGATCTGGTCGATTCCATCAGAGGAACGCAGCTCCATGAGCTTCCTCAGGTCCATTACTGTGCAGCCAAAGTCCCCTTCATGGCTCTCGACCATCGAGTTGGCCGGCAAGGCATGTTCTGTTGGGTTCGTCATTTTGTCTGCTGTTACCAAGCCCCTCGACCAGAGAAAATGTGGAGTTTCCCTTTAACTGATCAGGGACGCCTGCCTTTCTGCCTCACTTCTTCTTACTTCTTGCTTCTCTGGGAGCCCAGTTAGGAAATAGATGGACTAGATCCTGTGCAATAGGCTTTGGAGGAGCAGCCTCTAGCCCAGATCCCTTTTTGTGTGTGAAGCTTGGCAGCGAGAGGAGGAAGAGGATGGGGGAACTGAGTGGAAGCCAGACCACGTGTCACGATGATTGCTGTCCCCAGGTAGTGATGGAAGTGCTTGTCCAGGGTAGGTAGGTTCCTAGCTTAGACCAACTTGCCCAGATAGAGGTGTAAACAGGATGTGCATGTTACCATGGAGGCCACCTTAGCAACAACCAGCAACTGCGATGGTAGAGAGGCGGCAGGAGAAGGAGGAGGAAGAGGAGGGCTCCCTGGATACCGCTGACAACTGGATCTCTGGAATAAAGATTCAAAGACAGACAAAAACAATTAGAGCGGCCGTGAGGATCTGGCATCTGCGAGGGCAAGAGGGACTCATTCTAGCACAAGGGTTTAGGTGACAGTTGATGCCTGAGCCAAACCGATCGCTGAGGCCTGGGCTGAGCGGACGGACTCAGGAGGGGCCCGTTCCTCCCTAGGAGGCCCCAGCAGCCTGCAAACTTCCATGTAGAGAAGTAATTTCAGATACACCCCCGTCCTGCCAACACACCGCTCTCAAGCCAAGTGACACGGATCCGGCAGCTTCAGAAACTAACGGCTCTCATGCTCTCCTTGTCTATTCATTTGCGGGCCCCACCACGAAATCCTTTCGTCTGACCTTGCCTCTAACTGGGGAGAAGAGGTCAGAAGAGGAGTCCAGACCAGAGTGATCTGGAGGGTGGTCTGCCAGGCTGTCACCCGCGCATCCTGCACCCAACACATACAGTTACATGCCAGGAGGCCAACCTGGTAGGCGATGCCCGCGTCCTCGGGGGCCCCTCAGAATATTCAGCCTCCAGCCGGACGGAAATCCTGCAGCCCGCAGCTGCTGTCAGCAGGTCAGGTACTAGGTTCAGGTCTTGGAGCTAAGCCCACCCCTCCAAAAAGCTTTCCCTCTCTCCAAAAGGGGAGAGTAAAATGCTCTGGCAGCCGGCCATACAGGTTGGAGCCTTTTTACATAAAGGGGACAGAAGGACCTTTGAGGAGAAGGAAGAGAGTTTAAAGTTAAATATGAGTGTTAAAGTTACTGGGCTGGCAGGGATAAGACAGCAATCAATTCAGATAGAGCCCAGGGCCACGGCAAGGTCAGTGGGAGAGCAGCGTTAGCCCGTGTGGGAGTGAGCACCAGGGGGTCTCAGATCAGCATTTCTCTCCTCAGAGAGACAGGTGCTCCCCCTCTGACTGGGGGAGGGGCAGAGCTATGTGCAGGTGAGGATATAAAGGGCTGAAGGTGGACAGGCTCATCCTTGTCCTGTTTAGCTTTAGAGTGCAGCTCCTGCCTGTCGTGTGGGACCCACTGCCACACGTCAGCCACTTATTTGTTTGTATATTTATTTGGGGGGGGAGGGGCAGAAGGAGAGAGAATCTTAAGCAGACTCTGCACTCAGCGTGGAGCCTGATACAGAGCTTGATCCCATGACCCTGAGACCATGACCCGAGCCAAAATCAAGAGTCAGACGCCTAACCGACTGAGTCATCAGGCGCCCCCAGATCATTTAATTGTGAAGGGGCTCAAAAAATGTGAAGGGGCATTTTCTTTTTTTCTTCTTCTTCTTTTTTTTTTTTTTAAGATTTTATCCATTTATTTGTCAGAGAGAGCGAGAGTGCAAGCAGGGGAATGGCAGGCAGAGGGAGAAGCAGGAAGAGGAAGAGACAGGCTCCCCACCAAACAAGGAGCCCGATGCGGGACTCGATCCCAGGACCCTGGGATCATGACCTGAGCTGAAGGCAGACGCTTAACCAACTGAACCACCCAGGCATCCCTAAGGGGCTCTTTCTGAATGTAGCACCAGAACCTGGGGGCCCAGCCCTGGTTAAACAGTCCCCATTGACTTGAGTTCAGTTACCAGGGGGTGGCAAGGAGCTCTGGACAGCCCCTCTCTAACACACAGATGACAGCCTCCCTTCTAGAAGGTGAACAAAGAAGCACAAGAACCATCAGATAAAGGCTTGACTCTTTTACCAGGTACTTTTCCAAAAAGCACATGTGGCCAAAGTTCCTGCTGATTCCCATCAATCCTCTTTCCGGTAGGTCCCAGGGGATGGAGGAGGTTACGCTTCTGCCTCCCCCCTAGTGCAACCCCTGCCTTCTCCTTTTACCAGAGATTTTTAGAGTGACTCTGACCTACAGAGGGTTAAGCAAGCAGGGTTTTGTTCTGTTGTTGCTATTGCTTTTCAAATATCATACTGCCTTTCTTTTTTCTGCCTTTCTTTTTTGATGTCGTCCAGGAGCCTGGGCAGTAGAGGTCTGAAAGGAACCTGAAGCAGCACATCAAACTCCCTTCATCCCGACTGGCACGGGGATCGGTGGGGTACCACAGACTGTCCCTCCAGTTCAGCTTCCCGCCTAAGCCTGGAAGCAGTGGGAAGAGCTATAGCAGTAAGAAGCCCATCTTGACCCGTAAGTAGAACTCCTTAACCTTTCAAGAGGATGTTGAGAACCGTGCTGATGGAGTGCTAAACTGGAAATCAGATTTTACTTTTTTTCTCTGTATTTTTTTTCTATGTTCCTTGAGGGCAAAGGTCTGCACTTGTCTTGTTCACTGCTTTATCCCCAGTGCCTGAAGAGAGCCCGCATACAGTGGGCATCCCGTTAATTTGTTGTTGTTGTTGTTGAATAATTGGTAGCAGATTCAGAACCAGATTTACCATCTTCCCAGGTACCCTTTGGGCAAGTCACTTGTCCTTCTTAGGGCTTAGTTCCTCCTGCCTTTACCTGGGGGGAAAAAAATCACCCTACCTCTTCACACCATCCTCAGAAAGTGATGAAGGACAGGAATGAGAGATAGAAATAGTGCTCGGAAGTCTTAGATGAAAGATGCCCAGCGTCCAGCATGTCTGCTCTCAAGTGATGGGAGAAGGCTTACTTTGATCTTAATGAACTTTTGGTATCTAGCCCTTTAAGCAGAAGGCCAATAAGCTCCATGTGCCCCTCCATCTTTCCTTGCTGGAGGGAACTCCCAACCCTCGAAAAGAATGGAAAATTCCAAGGCACCTTCATTAGCAATAACCATTAGCTAGGTTATAACCATTGGCAATACCACTAGGCTAGGCAAACTCAGATTTCTAGAAAAGAAGAAGGGACAGTCTGAGTCAGAATTCCTTACTTTGAACCTCTCCTCAAGATATCAAAGAAGAGAAATTTTTCAGTCACTTGGGCAATCAAAGAGAAAAGGACACTTAAGATTAGAACATAGGGGACGTGTGGAAAAGAATGAAGTGTGTCTGCTTCAGGTTTGTTCTAGAGACACATACAGAGGAGGGTAAGCACTAAGCGGCTGGTACAGAGTCTAAAGTGGGCTGTGTCAGCTGGGGGCCCAGGTTAAGGTGGGATCTCTATGAAAGTTCTTCTGGAATTCGGAGGCGTCGCAGGCACCCATACTTCTCTCTGAGCTCTTAGAATGTGAGCTCTCTGCAATTGCCAAGCCTGCCTAGCCCCTATCCTTATTAGGCAACTGGCAAAGAATAATCTGTAAGTGCTCACACCGCCTCAGCCTCAGCCTCAGCCTCAGCTTCAGACGCAACGCTCAGACGCCTGGGAGGTACCACCTCTTGTCAGGTCAGAATTAGTCATTCAGCTCGGGGCATTCTGGGTAAGGTATGTTCTCACTCCCAGTTTCTAGCATTGTGCCAGCTTAAAGGACGATAGGATGGAAGAGCAAACCCTCCCATCGCTTCCTTCAGGGGCAAGAAATCGTATTACTTTACATGATCGCTGAATCATGTCAATGTTTTTCCTCCTAAAGTCCTGTGACATCTGTTCTACAATTTGTAATGACGTGTGAAAGCACTGTCATATATCAGTTCTAGGGAGGACAGCTGGGACACCCCCCCGTCCCCCCACAGATGAAGACACTGAGGTCTAACGAGAGAAGAAGCGATTTAGTCTTTGGCAAGTCAGCGTCCTTGGCTGTCTGGCGCTCTTTTTGTGACACTTTACTCCTTCCCTCGAGTCTGGACCTCCTCATTTTCTGACAAACATCTAAGAGGTCCTTTAAAATGCAGTGTCTCTGGAGTACAGAAAATACCTATTTCCACTTAGAGGAAATGCTGACTCTTCCTCCTGTTCTTTCTCGCTCAGAATCAACTATATTACATTACAGGGGCTGAAACAGACCCTCCCCCACTCCCATACACACCTGAGAAGCAAACTACCCCACACTTCCTGATAACTCAGGCTGCAGCGAGGTTTGCTAGCAAGTTCCAAAACAGGGAGCTGCCAGAGAAAAGAACCTCATGCCCTAAGCCATCAAACCATAAACAATAGTCAGACACTCTGTTTCCTCCAATTTTGTCCAAGGAATCCCTTTCTCTTGGAAACCTTCCCAGCACTAAGGAAGAGATCCATCCCCAGACTACAAGGAGAAAGGGTAGCTCCCGTGTAGGGGATCGAGTAGGGTCTTTTGAGGATCTGGAAGGAAGCCACCCCCTGAATCTCCCCTGCCAAAGGCTCCTATTGAATCTGGCACGGTGCATGGGAAATGAAGTATGAATGGAAACAGGAGAAAGGAAAGAGGAGGGGCCAGGGGCTAGGGAGTCAGGCTGGCTCATCACCGCAGCTCGACCTGCCTGGAATAATAAGGGCTACACTCAACTCTGGCCTCCAGGCTGCAAGGGCGGGCTGCTCAGTAGAGCAGACTCTGGTGCCCTGCCCTGGCTTGTCCTCTTTACCAGCAGCGCCTCTGCTCAGGAGCGTGTTGGTAGCGTTCGGAGATGCTTTGCTTGGAGTGCGAGCATCACTGCCATTGGGGACGTGACGGGTGAAGGAGGCAAGATTTCGAAGGAGGGGGGCAAGGCCAGTCCCACCTTAGATGGCACCAAACTGAAATATGAACCTGCTCCAGCGGCCCCCCTCGCATAACCTGTTCCCTTCTCTCTGACCAGAGGCTCCCTTTTGTCTACGGCCATACCACCCTGAACGCGCCCGATCTTGTCTGATCTCAGAAGCTAAGCAGGGTCGGGCCTGGTTAGTACTTGGATGGGAGACTGGAAGCGCCCTTTCCCAAGTGAGGCTCTGTTTTCCTCCCTATTTGCAGGGGAGGAAATGGGATGGGGTGGGGAGGGGGAGGGGATGGGGTGGGGGGTCGGAAGGGAGGGAAATAATATTAGCGCATACAGTGAGCCAGGTACCAGAGTCGGCACTCTGTGTGGGAATGAGAAGCCGTAGGCGCGGGCGCGTGCGTTATGTGACATATAATGCGTTGCATGGCGGCTGATACGGGGGGGTCGGTCCACACGCAGTAGCTCTTACCATCATT